CATCTAATCACGTTCAGGCTCCTCGAGGTTACGACGTTATCGCGCGACGAGTGCGACGAAAGTGAAGCAGGGGTAACGGGGAGCCGTTTCCCTTCTCTCCCCCCTTCACTCCCCTTCCCCTCCCCGCCGCCGCAAATCTGTCAGACCGAGTAGCGACGGGTCGAAAGTAGAAAGTGAAGCGTCGCGGGCTGTTATCTCTTTGACGATGGACCCTGGCGAGATACGCCGTGGCCGAATTAACATTAGCGCGCGAATTATTACGCGTGCAGCCGCGTAAATCGCACGTTATCCTCGTTCATCGTCCGGACGCTCGGCGGCGCGTGAGAACGGTGTCCTCCCTCCTACGTGGACGATTTTCCTCGAATACATGTGACAGCTGTTGCCATAGGCTATTTCTGACTTGGGAGCGATCGAAAAAGATGTGCTGTCACCGCGCACATAACCTTCTATCTCGCGACGGAGAACGGCCCCGTGTCGTGCCTCGACGTCCAGGTTCCTCGCCCCTTTCTTTCCTTTTCTTTCTCTGTTCCAGGCCCTCCGTCGAGACAACGGGGAATCGCGCGTCGCGATCTAGATGCGGCGACGGCGACGATGGTGACGTCGACGTCGACATCGGGATCGATCGCGCCGTTGAAACGGCGAAACGTTTCCGCGACACATAGATCACGCGCGTCGCGTCGCATCGCGCGTCACGTCGCATCACGTCACGTCACGTCACGTCACGTCACGTCACGTCGCGTCGTATCGCCGACCGACCGACCGACCGACCGACCGCGACGAATTCAACGTCGACAGATCCGACACGACACGTAAGAAACTACCTGTAGTACGACAGCAGGCCGTTTGACAGGACGAACCATCTCCGTTGGTAACCTTTCAGGTAGTTTGTCCATTTGAAAAGCCAGCCTTTCATCTCCTGCGCGCCGTGCTGGCTCTTCGGGTCGCCCATGTTGCCGTCGGCCTCGCGTAGTTACGCTCGCGTACCTCACACCTCCCTGAAACGAACACGATGCGAGCCGATATCTGCCTACACATCACCCGCGTTGTGCCGCGCCACCATTTTGGTAATTCCCCCTCGTGGAAAGGAGGAGCGAGGGAAGGGGCCGGTTGGTCCTCCCTCCCCACTGCCGCTGCCGCCACCGCGCTGTCTTGCTCGATTGTCGCACAACGGACGCGACGAGTGGAATCGACGGTCGAGGGCCGACGTCTGAGAGACGGTTCAAGATGGTTCAAAGCGCGCAGAACGTGTGGGGGACGCCTTCTCCTTTTGCCGACGGAACACCTTTTTCCCTTCTCCCTTCCTTTCTCGGCGTACGGCGCGCCACGACTCGCACGCCACGTTCCTCCTCGCTGACGGCTCGCCTAACCTTTACGTCGCGTCACTGATGTAACACGTCCATGATTTATGTGTACGTTTTCTATGATGCACACGCATGTCCTCATGCGTACCGTGTAACACGCGCACATCGAGAGCAAAAGTGCTGCCCCGTTTCAGGTGTGATAAGCGGAGCTGCACCTGCGGTGCTTCCCCCTCTACCGAGATTCTGTCGTATCTTCTTCATCAACGATTGGCCGGCCAATCAGTCGCGACGTCAATCACGATGAATTATAATACTATAGATTTTGGAACTGTATGCGATTACACGCGTACACCGCTTTCAAAAGATCGTCTTGGATTTTAAATCAAATGTATAATTTTTACCGTGATACCTACTGTACAATTGTACCACGCTGCACTATCTGCACTCAAAGTAAAATGGATATATATTTAAGAATTTGAGAGAGAAGGAGGAAAGATAAAAGCACGTATTGCAGAATACAATTTGCATTTAACATTTTGAAATGTATTTTCGTATAAAAAGAATGGAATGTATATCGAAGGTAATTGTTTTTTAAAACTAATGATATTTAAACATTCTGCAAAATTTCTTCAGATGTTTTGCATAGTAATTTCCTATTTTTAAATATAGCGGTTAGTTACTGCCATATTCGGTTCAATACGGAAATAGACCAATCAGTAGAAAATCTAAAATATTCAAAATTTTATTTGCGGGTCTTCAAATTTTATTGAAGAAATGTATATTTCGTTACAAATAAAATATAACGTCGTAAGAACTTTTAAAACGAAATTTTTTACTTTAAAACAATATTGCCATCTTATAAATTGCAGTACAAACTGGAGGAAGTTGTAATTTTTTTTCTAAACAGTAGCTTTCTTATTTTACTTAAGTTAAATAATTGATTTGTCAGGGCGCCGGAAGTCCCTTCGCACGGCCCTGGATAGAGCGAAAGGACGGATGAAATATTTTCGTTCGTCCTATCGGATGTGAATTCGCGTTCGTGGCGATTGCGAGAGGAGAGGCGCGCCCGTTCAGGACACCCGGTACACACGCTTGCGGCAGAGACCTGCGCCCGTTTTCGCAGCGGTTGACCCGCGCAGTAGTTCTCATCGTGATACGATACGCCGTGTCGTAGTGGTCGCAACTGTTCTCGCGTGTGCCGACAGGACAGATATCTAGCGTGTCGTTGCACGATCCCGTTTTCGTGTCGCTCGCAGGGCTAGCTCGCGGTGGGCCGATGAGGTGATTGCGAGGTCCCGCGGCGGGTCCAGACTTCGGATCGCCCAGGTGAGAGAGAAAGAGAGAGAAAGAGAGAGAGAGAGAGAGAGAGAACGCGTCGCGCCGTCGCGCGGCGAGAGATCTCGGTCGCGCGAGGCGTGCGATTTCTGGGGTAAAACGCAGAGTGATTCCGGGTATCAACCGTACCGCGTCGTCGCCGTCATCGTCTCGATACGGTGTCGCGCGACGCATCCCGGACGAGTCGATCCGTGCGCGTCGTCGTTGTGATCGTCATCCCCGTTCCTCGCGTCCTCTTCGACGCACGCTCGCGGGCGAAAGTTGGAAAGTGCGAAATCCCGCGATCGCGGGAGATGCCAGGATCCAACGGGTAGGCGGTCACGGTACGACGATCGCCTCCTAGTCGCGCAGCATTATTACGCTAGGCTGAGTCCCGACTCGCGCGATGTCGTTCGTCTGTCGTCTCGTCGCATCGTGCTCATCCCCGATCCGCGTGCCGTCCGTACCGTGAGTGATCACCCTAGAAATCTGTGTTTCTTTTGCATCGCATCACCAAGGGGGTGACCCGAGGCTTCTACGAGGCCTAATTCTATTCGCCAATAATGCCGAATTCGAAGGACATTAGGTACGTTCTAACCGCGTGCTGCCTCTCTTAGATTTCAGCCAACGGCTGCGAACAAGCGTAGGATAATCAAGAATAAATGCTATTCGACCTTCTTTTTCTTTTTAGCAGCAGATGATCTCTGATATAGGTTAGTGCAAGTGGAAAGCACTTCAACAACGGACATCTAAATGTCAGGAGGTGTTCTCGCATAGCGCTGAGTGCTGCGGCCAGGCATTCTTAAACATGGCCACGTATCAAGTCGACTACCAGTGGTTAGTGTATTATAGTGTCAGATAGTTCGACACTTCTATCTTCTTTCGTAAGTTGTCAATCACAAGCTTATTAATTATTCCTTTTACAATTTATTGCAGGGCTTATTCCATAATGGATTCATCCAGGATATCCACTTTCCTAATATCAATTCTACTGATAGTTTATGGTAGTTTCCGATCTCTAAACATGGAACAAGAGGCGAGGGAAAGAGAAAAGGAGAAGGAACGTAGTAATTTATTGACTGGGATTACGAGTAATAGCAGTGCTGGTAACCCGGACGGCGCTAATGGAGGAAGAGTCCAGACTCTCGACACGATGCATGCTCTCTGTCTACCTCTTGGTGCTTCCATTTCTCTACTTGTCATGTTTTTCTTTTTTGACAGTATGCAGATGCTTCTTGCAATTTGTACAGCCAGTACGTTTGGTAACAAGTTTAATTTAGAAATAAGCTCTTATTGCAATAGCACAAATTTGATACAAAGTGCTTATCGTCTAACGAAAATTATATTATTTTCTTCTTGCAGTTATAGCTACAGTTGCATTGGCATTTCTTTTATTGCCCATGTGTCAGTATATCATTAGACCATGTTCCGATGGTAACAAAATATCCTTCGGCGTCTGTGGGAGATTCACTGGTGCGGAATTACTCTCATTCTCACTTAGTGTGAGTATAGTATGCATCTGGGTCTTGACTGGACACTGGCTGCTGATGGATGCGATGGGTATGGGCCTGTGTGTGGCATTTATCGCATTTGTTCGATTACCTAGTCTCAAGGTATCCACGTTGTTATTAACCGGACTGCTAATTTATGATGTCTTCTGGGTTTTCTTTTCATCCTACATATTCAGCACAAATGTAATGGTTAAGGTGAGTCTTGCAAAGCTTATGTACAAAGACATTACAAAGAACATATGCTCTTTTTAAACAAATTTATAACTTGTTTTGTTGCAATATCTTTTCATGATGATGCATTGTAGATAAGAATAAACTGAATTGCACAATGTATCTACACAATGTATCTATAATCTGTTTATAAAATTTACTTTGAGACACTATGATGTATATAATTTATATTTATTATTATCATGTAGGTAGCAACTAGGCCTGCAGATAATCCAGTAAGTCTTGTGGCGAGAAGATTACATTTAGGCGGCGTGGCAAGAGCCGCGCCGAAACTACCTTTACCTGGAAAACTGGTTTTTCCATCAATGCATCAAGCGGGACATTTCTCGATGTTAGGCCTCGGCGACGTGGTCATGCCGGGTCTCCTACTCTGTTTCGTCCTGCGATACGATGCATACAAAAAGACTCAGTTATTGCCCGGCGGTTGCGAAACCGGAGTACCGCCGCCGCGTCACTTCAGTCGAATTAGCTATTTTCATTGCTCCTTGATCGGTTATTTTCTTGGTCTACTTACCGCCACTGTAAGCTCTGAAGTGTTCAAAGCTGCGCAGCCTGCCTTATTGTACCTTGTGCCCTTCACTTTGTTGCCATTGCTTACGATGGCATATTTGAAGGTATTGTTATGTTTCCTATTTATATATTTTGTATCAATTTATTCTTAAAAGATTCTAAGAACATGTTTTGTATTAATAATAGAAATTATATCTTTAACAACATGTATTTTGTGATATATAAAGAACTATAAATATATATATCAGACACAAAATAAGATTGTGAATATTAATTATTTACTTTCAGGGAGATTTGCGTCGAATGTGGAGTGAACCATTCATATCTCAACAACCATCTAAACATATGGACGTTTGACAAGAGTCATGGGTCTCTGTATATTGTGTTGTATTGGAGGCAAAATTGTTGCATGAAATTCATCACCATATAACTTCACATTCTTATTTTCATCAATGTCATTTAATGTAAGTAATTTTTCTACATGTACGCATGTGCGCAGTACAGTCTCTCGCATTCTTTTTAAAGTCAATATGACATACAGAGAACGATTCGGATCGAAAATCACAATACGATTATTTGCGATACAAGTGTAAAAATACATTATATACCGCATAAATAATTTAAATGTAACATAATGTCACGAATGTAACGTTAGCGTTGCAAGGAACTTTTTATCGAACAATAGAGAACGAAAGGGTCCTTGAGAATATTTCCAGAATGCCAAATGACATATATATTATCGGCATTCTTTCTGTGTCTTAACTTGATGTTGAGTATATGGATAGACATTGTGCACAATAGATAACACAACCGATAATTATTGTCATGAACAGCTAAGTAATAACTAAAGACTATCTACCATGTAGTTAATTTAACGAACAAAAAAAGATATTTACTTGTATTAGAATCATCATAGGAAAAGAAAACGTATTCTCGAAATATTTACTTTTAATCGAACAAAATATAGAAGACTAAATGCTATTCCCATGAAATTTAGTTACAAATGGCTGAACGATTCGTCGCAGAATATAATTTTGATTTACTATATTCAACCGCAATCGAATTACTTGCGAATGTGTAGCTATGAATAGGATAATTTATAAACTGTTTGAATATTTAGATACGAATCTAATACACATATACGTGTAGGTTGTGACTTTGTTTTAAAGTTGGTTTATAATGCGAGATTATAAAACTAAAAGTGATTGTATATATTTATTACCATTTTCGTAAATTTATAAGGGGGCACAAATTCTTGCGATTGGCGGTAATCAATGGCACGCTTTTCGATACTGTATTTTGTTTTGCTATTTGTTTGTTGAATCTATATATTTCAAAATTATAATTTTTATTGTGTGTCATTATCAGTGTGTAAGTAGAGTACGAAGTACGAAACTGTTGTTAAAGATAATTACAGACAGGTTTATTTAAAAAAAAAGGCTTTTTAAATGAGCTCTTGCTATGGATAGGCTGTCAGAAAGACTTTATATGTTTATTTAAGGACAAGACTGAAGATAACATATATGAAAGCCAATTTATTAAGTGACTTTCTGAAAGATAAACGAGTTTTTCCATTCTACCATTCTCTTAGATCAATCTATAATATCGTAGAGCTTGATAAAAGAATAATATAATATATTCTAATATAATAAGATTATACTGTACTGTATCTAAGAGAGGTAGAATTATAACTGCTTTCATATCGTCTCTTACTTTAAAATAGGTTAAAATTTATAAATCAATTAGATATTTGACAATTGCCCAAATAATTTTTTTTATATTATCGTACATAGATTATCATAGTAGATCATTAAGCTATACGTATCTACATCAGAATGACAGTTTATAATTTACGATTCGAGGATAAATATTATTCTATCGTCAAGTTTTTTTTTTTTTTTTTTTAATTATAATAGAGAAGATAAATTATATAAGTGTTCTGAACTAATGAATTTGTATATTAATATAGAAAAACAGAATTTCATCTTACAAAAAATAAGGCATTTTTAACATTATCGAATATCATCCATTAACTTTATAATAATTACGTTTTTAATATTATCTCATGCTTCATTTGTTTACCTGTCCATAGCACAAGCAATTTATTCTCCGTCGTTATCATATGTATCAACTGAATTATTCTTTTCTTTTTCTTTTTTTTTTTTTTTTTCTTTTTTTTTACATTTTATAATAATCACGTATAAAATAAGTAATAAAATATATTTTGATTACTTCCATTATTTTGTCGAAAAATTACAAAGATGCTTTTATAAAGTGGTTTATCCTGAACCAGTTTAGCGCTTATATATATTTTCTTAAAAAAGTAATTTTAAAGAGTGATTAATGCTCAAATCATCAATTTTTCTCTCTTTCATAACAGTATTTTTTTCTCTTTTTTCCTAATCGAGTTACGTACACCATAACATGACATGTTTCCGTAATGTACATTTCGAATTTTTTTTCTCTTCCAATGTGTACATACGAATAATCTCAAGAGGCAAACTTCATAGTAAAATCTGCGTCATGTCTCTATAAAGAGATTTGCTTATTAAGCAAATAATCGAATGCAATGAATTTTGAATACGACGTAGTGTGTATCTCTACAAGAAAACGTTCAAGTTTTCGTACATAGATTAGTGCAATATAATTTATAATTTATACTGCAGCAGATATCACGTAATACTTTTGTTGTATTAAAGTAATTCCATTTCCCCATTTTGCTTACAACGACTCCTTCGATCGATGAGTGTTTTTGTACAAAGAAGTTAAGGCATAATATCATAGAAACCGTTCATAGTAAGATTCGCAGCTTAATTTATGGTAAAAATGAGAGATATGTAGTAATACTTTGATTTCCTTTTCTTACTATAAGTAAGAAACCACAGTTTTCGCTGAACGTCCTGAACTCTAACAATTTATTTATTGACTAGCAAAATTATGTAAATTTTGCTAATCTAAGAAAATGTATATAAAATGAATATTTCAATTGTCATCTTTCAATTTTTCCATAAACTAAGTGACGCGGTAAGAAAAAAGATACTATAGATTAGTGATACGACGTATGATAGTGACAGAATGATCAAGGAACAGGTTTAAATAAAAATCAAGAGTTAAACCGTATACACACAGATATTATTAAATGCTGGATATTATATAGGTAAAATATACTAAAGAGCACTCGCTTGTACTGTTGCAATTCTCGATTTGCATGTGTACAGCTATGTACATTTTTATATATAATAAAACCTGACCGTTTTCATATGGTCACGTTTGAAAAGTAAAGTTATTGATAACAAATCCACACAACAGTGTTCTTTTCTTATTAGTCACTCTCATTAAGGCTATCGCGTTTTAAACGGAAAAGTAGCACCTATTTTAAACCTGAGTATTTCTGCCACAAATTGCTTTACATTCCGACAGAAAATTATTTTTATTCGTTAATCTAGCTTTAACACATTTCCTTCCATTTAAAATAATCGATTATGTATATTTATATATTACAGGTTGTATTATTGTCTTGAATTCATACGTTAGTTTGTCCTATCGTCACATTGTCCAGATTCCTCTTTATACTCTCCAGATCCTTCATATCCGACACCGCACTTTCACACTTGTAGACTACCAAAGAGTGATAAAAGTGAACGGCGAAGGCGACGAATACTATAAGCACGGGAATGACTATCACGGTGCTGGCAGTAGCGGCAGTAAAGGAGTAATCCCAGAACTTTACCCAGCAAAGAATAGCCACCTCTACTAGAAACAGGAACAGTCCGAGTATCGTGGAAAATGCCCAGGCCAATTCGATGAAACCGCGCATTCTCTCATGTGGTGATTCCGTTATGAGACGCGAGACTTGAAGTTTACTTATGGCTTCGATATTGGGTAAAAGATACGTGCTGATCATCAATGCAAAGATGTGCACCGATACCAAGAAAGTAGTGCAGACGGCGAACATTACGAACAGCCATTCCGGTACCGCCGTTGGTTCATTTATCTGCAGTTCCACCATCGCCACCTAAGGCCAGAAAAAAAGAGTGAAATACAATTTGCTACAATCATCAGACAAACGTTAGAAGATATTTGCGTTAGATATATACCGCGAGAAGTGAGGCAAATTAAAGAAAGTGATATCTGCCTTATATAACCACAAATGTGCATGAAGATTATATAGAATTGTCGTCGACGTCAATTTAACCATTTTCAGGAAACGTTGTGTAATCATGTACAATCCGCTCTGAGTTAGACATCTCCAAGAAAACAGTTCTCTATTTAAATGAGCCTCGAAAAATTGATTATAAATGCTTAACTAAGTATTACTTGAAATATGATTCATTACTTGAAGTAACAAGAAAAATTTTTTTTACTTATTCATGAATCGCCATTAAATAAATTTAATGGCCATATTAATTACACGAAATTATGATAAAATGAAGTTGGTAAAAAAAATTTATCCAAAAATTTAAAATTTAAAAAATGTTTATATTAATCAAGAAACGCTTATAAATATAAGAAAACTTTTATTCTCTCTAATCTTAAATAAATAAAAAAGATGTATGTACTACTTGATACATATATTATATCAAAATATGTAGATTACTAAATAATTAATATACGATTACATTTTTTTAAATGTTATATTTAGAACAGGCTTTATTTTTTTTTCTCATATATCGTAAGGACATTTTTTGATCGTAGATAGTATATAGACGTAGAATATTAACATCATGATTCAATGCATGCATAATATAATCTTGTTTTATAAATAAAAAGCATTTGCAGAAAAAATTACATTACAAGAACGCAGTAGCGATAATTGCAAAACGAGATTAAAGAGGTTTTCTTATAAATAACTTAACATTTTTTACATTTTTATTTGATTCTTTTCGTATTTATTTTCAATTTTATTTCTTAAAAATGTTTTTCTAAGATATTCCAATGACGTCGGATATTCTGATGATGTCTACGAAATTAACGAAATTAACACATGTATTTGACGTGATAATTAAGTGATTCGAGAAGATGATGTGATTAAGAAGGTTAAAAAGGAAAGGAAGTTGAAAAGAAGAAGCAAAAAATGGTAAAAAAAAAAAAATAATTCTGAAGGATATGAAGAAGGAAAAGATGTTTTAAATAACCTTTGCACGGCTGATTAAGTATGAAAAACTTTTTTAAATATGAAAACTCACACAAAGAATCAATTATCTACAATATCTCAAAAATAGATAGTTCAATTAATTTTTTTGACAAAATATAAAACAGATATTCTCCTTTCATCTCTCTTGAATCACGATCAATTTAAGTTTTTCGAAAACTCATCGTTTATTACAGTCTGTAAATATCTTTTTTTATTAAAGTATTATTTCTATATTTCTGATAACTGTGTTAGTTATCGGGCAATAGAGTATACGTGGAAATTACTTGTTTTTTTTTGTCATTGTCAAAAAGGAGAACCCTTGAATCCTGAATCACAGGTATATCGATATATATTACACGAATGTGTAATTATGTTTACCATTGCGAATCCACTGAGAAGCTCAGATGTGGTTGCAGTCGCTTTTAGTTTCGCTCTGCTCATGTGGAGCCTCCTCCACGACAGACCCTCAGGTCCATCGTGGTCATCAGTTTCACTCTGCGAGAATGATGCCGGTGGCGGTGGAATCTGCGAGCCTGGACATGTACAGCAACAGGTGTATGGCATATTGTTGCCTAAGACATTATTGGAATGTGGATACGGAAGACTAGGATACGGAAGACCGTTAATCGGTCTCATGTCTAAAGACACGTATCTATTGTTATTGTGCCTGTTTCTAGACGATAAGACCAACTCGCTTTGCACCGGGTACAATGTGCTTCTGGAGCTGTGCGTGGAGAAGCTCGACTCGCTCATCGGCTTCGGAATTTGCTTCGTCGGCAAATACAAGGACATCGGCCTGGGCCTCTGTCCACCGCAGGGAAGTCTCCAGGTCGACTGCGAGATATCGCTCTGCGTAGACTTGTTGAATCTACCACCTCTCGGATCCTCCCCCATGTCGCTGAGCGTGATATTCGCATTTAATCTCGCATGATCCGTTTTCTCCTGCTCCTGGATGCAGTCAATGAGAGCGCTCATCTCTTGGAGAGAGATCTCCCCTCCCCCCCCCCCGCTCCCTCCGCACGATGATAGAGTTGCACAACGGAAAATCTATCCGCTCTATCTCCTCGAACGTTTATTTTGACGCATCATTCGGCACGTGTCACCTTCAACAAGAGACGCTGATCAATTCGGTCGGAATACTCAAAACACGCAGGTACGTCCAGATATATATTACACTGCACCGCGATCTTCCACTTATGCCGCTGGCACCAAAGTTCTGTATTGCGGTCGCGTAATCGGATTATAGATTGCCTCGATTGCCTCGACATCGATTGCCTGTAGCGGCGGATTTATTTATCACACTGTATCACATCGGACGACTACGTCGTCGTGTGACACACGTTATCTCTCAAGTGGTCCCGCAGAAGCGAAACATCGCGCGCGGCGATCAAGCCATGCATGCGTGTCGTGTACGACGCGCACCGCGGAAGAAACGCGGAGCAATCGCGGACCACTGTGCCACCGGAGCTCCAACCGAAGACTGAAGGATCCGAAGGCCTAGCCAAAGTACGGACATGACGTACCTGGCTGAATCATAACAATAGTATTAATTACCTTCGAGCCATATCTGCAACATAATAACCGGCCGTGTGACCTCCCGGCGCGTGTCCATGTGCGATTGTGTAGCGGTGCACGATTCACCGCTCATCTTCACGTGCTCGTCAAGAAAGATACAATGTGTTGCGGCCAATGACGTTTGTTTTTCCTGCCTCCGGCGGGAACGACGATAAGGCGAACGAGCGAGGCGAAAGAAGTCCGCATCGAACAAAACATGTTGCCGAGTGCGAAACTCGCTCCGCGGTGGCTCGGACGATTGTTCACGTGGCGGAAAGAAGAAAAATGCGACTACATAAAAATCCTTATCTCAACTTCTTCCTAATTACTCGAGTTCTCACACCGACGCGTCTGCGACGTCGAGACTCTTCTATGGATTACGGATCGCCACGCGGGACGCGGCGGCGCGTCGCGATATTACCACAAGAAAATCAGTTCTCTTCAGTAAAGGTGTACGTAAAGGCGCGTAATAAATGGCGGTAATATTATTTATGGAGAAGCCTGCATTATGACAGGCGGGAATTAATCACCTGTATGCCACGTATCGCGTATATGTATGTGTATTTACACGTAATCGTTGGAATATGCGGAGACTCGGCGGACATTTGTCAGACTACGTAAGGCGATTTAGTAGTTACTTTTTTTTTTGCAAGAGGGGAAATTACCGAGCTTCGAATAAAGAAAAAAACTCGCGGTTATGATTTCCCCAAGATGATTTTGTATTCAAGTAGCGTCAAGTAGTGTCCCGCCGTCCTATACACTTTTTATCGCGGTTTAACGCGGAATATTTTGATGATTTGATCGTGCGCTTCTACGTTGTAATGCGTGCGACACGCAAGAGAAATATTCATTTGAATCAAAATATTAATTTGAATGATGGATAATTTTGCATACCAGATACCGGATCGTTTTCTGATGACTCGAAATCTTAATTTTGATAAGGGATTCGTCGACGAGTCTGAAATTCGAATCTTTTTAGCAAAGACTGTGTGAAAAATGATATCTATATGTTATTACATTGTTAGCTTTTAGATATTCTTAGACTTAAGTAAAAATTTTATCAAAGAAAATCCAAATAATTGATAAATCTTATTTATTTTTTTTTTATATACAATACATTTTATATTTAGTATTTAGCTCTTAATTTTTTTAATAGAACATTCATATCAATAATGGAAGATAAGATTTCTTTTCCTCAATCACTGATATGGATTACTTTGTGGAACTGGATATAATTAGATACTAGAACTGAAGACTTGCCCTTGAATATTTTAATATTTTTATTAAGTTTGAAACATCCTGTATATTATACTCGTTCTGAGATCCATATATTTTCAATTGGAAGCAGTAAGATTATTAAATAAGTTAATGAAATGAAAAATTATAATAACATTCCTTATTGTTTATTAATCATAATAAATTATAAACCAGGAAAAATCAGACAAATAGCCGACTACGTTGGTGATATAATGCGTACTTGCGGAAGTATATAACACATTTTCTTGGTAATACTAATATATGAGGATCGTTGCAGATAACAGAGACGAGACATCACAATGCAACAGTGTTTGTGTGAATAATTTTATTACGGCTTGCCGGCATTCTGCAAAGCTGAACTAACATGTCCTGCGAAGAGAAAGGTTTTTCGATTCTCCGCCTTTCACGCATCGGTCTTTTGCAATCAAACTGGTTTTAGCGATTAACAAAAATGCAATTCGCTGTAAACTACGTATATTCTTGTGTTGTCATGGTAATACGATGTTTACATTTTGATATGCTTGGAAATGGCATCTGTTTACATCTATTTGTTGCTTAATTAAAAAAGTTTCGGAGTTGCCAGTGATTTCGAAGCCTATTTATATAAATATCTTTTTTTTTTTTTTAATATCGAAATTTTTATGTTAACAAAATCTCGTCATTTGTGCGTACACAAAAATTTTTGATAATATAAAATCCAAACTATTGGAGAAGCCGAAGAACAACAAGTTATGTAATCTGCGTATGTCTTCTTCGTGTGTATAAAAGTTACGTGGCTATTTGCGTGACAAAAATGCTGACAAAATCCTGCGACATACGCGTGACAAGATCCCAGCACGAGACGTAGAATTGAATGGTCTGTTATATCAATACTTTATATATAAAAAAATATTGATGTTCCTTTACAAATGAAAAATACTTTAAAAATATTGAAACTTTTAACTCTGTGATTAATGACTACTCTACTTACTTTATGATAATTAATTTATTAAGTTAGTATTTATCAAAATATGCGTAATATATCGCAATCATAAACGTCATAAACGAATAGAAATAGAAATATATGATATTCTTAATGTACAAAGAAATCAATATACATTAATATATAGAGACATTTACAATGCAAAATCCGAAACTTATTATACGAATTGTACATATGTTACAAAAGTTTTGACCTCGTCTTACGTAACAATATATGAGTGTTATATGATTTTTTATGTAACATTTAAATAATCACTCATATTATTAAGCACTATTGTTATCGCTATATTCGAAGTATTTTTGTTAGTGTTTGATATGAGGTAATCAAAAAAATTGAAAGAGCTATTGTCATTAGATCAGATATGATCAACGCCATATTATAATAAAACTGAAGTATTTTTCCATCAATTGTCAATAATAATCACATGTGCAACATCTTTTTTCATTGTATTGAAAGATACGTATACTTGTGAAATCTGAGATATTTATCATAAAAAAAAATTTTTTTACAATTTTAATATCGATATTATAAGTAGTAGCGATACTAAGAAAAAATTTCAAATTTCAACACAAGTTGTTTTTCAGAGATAAATTTAAGTATTTAAAACATTTTAAAAATATATGATAAAATATAAATATAACAGATGTCGATTTTACCTTTCAAAACTATAAACATTT